CCTAAACCCTAAACCCTAATTCCCGAAACCTAGAACCCACCCAAACGCGGCCCCCCCGGAAAAGACGGGAGACGCCAGGCCGCTCCTCGCTTCAGACCTCGGTTTCTGGGCCTAGGTGGCCGGGGGCGGGCCGAGACGGAGGGAGAACGGAAAAGATCGTTTAGGGTGTAGGGTTTAGGGTTTAGGGTTTAGGGTTTAGGGTTTAGGGTTTAGGGTTTAGGGTTTAGGGAAGATCGAATAACCAGCTTGGCTTGTGAGATCCTTCTGTGCATGTTTTTGGTGTTTTTTTGGGGCCCGTTTACGAACCTTCGGCCTGAAAACAGGGTCTGCGACTGAGGGCTGAGGCAGGTTTGATGTCGCAAGCCGTGCAGGAGAGCTAGCGTCCTAAGCCCTGGAAGCCAATCAGTTCCTGTGTTGCTTGCACGGAAACTGGAATGCATTCATGCAGTCCTGCCTGAAGGGTCGGGGTTTTGTTGGAGTCCCGCTGAATGATAATCAAACTCCTGTGCAACTGTCTTAGGTCGTAGTCGCCGGCTAAATTCAGTTCGGATGATGTCGCGGCGGTCGCGGGCATCGTCCGGCGGGTGCTTCAAATCTCCGGCAGCCCTTGGCCTCGTGCCTTCAGCAGGTTTACTGGTTTTTGAAGCTGGAAACCCTCCAGCCCGAGCCCCTAAAGTTGTCAGCTCTGCCGCCAAAGCCGTCGAAGCCCAAGCCGCCAAACCCTCGACCCGGCCGAACTCAGTACCTTTCAGGTATCTACATAATGTAGGGGCCTAAATAATTGCCTCTACTATTTTGGGGGTTCCCTATTATAATTAATTATAGTAGAATGGCCCCTATATTAAACCTTCCTCCCTGGTTCGTTGTCTGAAACCCCTGCCTCCCCCGTCCTCAGGAAGCCCGATGCGCCGGCTGCCAGAGGACCAGGCTGTGGACGAAGAGGAGGACGACGATCCAGGCCGGAGTGCAGAGACCAAGAAAAACCCTTAATGAAAAAAGATATGGCTTGACCCTTAATTCCAGGATAGTGGAGTTTCTGACGGGAGTTTGAAGTTTGAGGATTATTGCGCAGGTGTTTGTCAAGGTTCGGGCTTTCGACGCAGGCTGCAGGTGTTTGGCAAAAGGCTTTTCGGACTTTCGGATGTCAATTCGGTGCTTGCTCTTGCTCGGGGTTGTCCTCAACGTACCGGCACCCTGACCCGGTGAAAAGAATGGAACCGGAAGCTATCGACCAGAATGCAGAACAACCCGCCACACCCAGGCCTCTCTTTGCTGGGTCCTGGTCAAACAACTGAGTTTCAGCTGCAACGATCCAGCAAGCATATAGCTTGGTAAAGAAAAAGCGAACCAGTGGAAAGGGACCAGAAAAGCTGAGAAACAGGAGCTAGAGACTTTGACAAAGAGGAGAAACTGACAAGAGAAGAGCGAAACGGTCGAAAGGGACTAGAACGTTGATAAACATGGTGCAAACCGCTCGAAAGGGACTATAGAGTTCGACAAGCAGGAATACCCGACGAACCGCTTAAATGGGGACCAGAGAATTTGCCGCAGAGGAGAATCTCACAAAACCGGAAGGGATCGCAAAATTCCACGCAGGAGTAGACCGCTCGAAAGCGATTAGAGACGTTGAGAAAGAGGACAGACTTTGACAAAATAAGAGCGAACCAGTCAAAAGGGGTTCAAAAAGTTCAGAATCAGATGCAAACCGTTCGAAAGGGACTAGTGAAATTGACAAGAAGAAGTTGACAAAAGAACGGCGAAAGATTCGAAAGGGATTGGAAAACTCGAGTCATAGTAGCAAGCCGCTTGTAAGCGAATAGGCAGAATCTGCGAACCAGTCGAAATGGTCAAGACAGTTGCGAAACAGGAACCTGGAGACTTTGACGCAGAGGCGAAGCTGACAAGAGAAGAGCCAACCAGTCGACAGGGACCAGGAAAGGACTAGAGACTCTGACAACGAGGAGTAACCAGTCCAGAGGGGCTAGATAAGTTCAGAAACAGGACAAGCCGCTCGAAAGGGGCGTCAAGAATTTGACAAAAACGGAGAGTCTGAGAACACAAGAGCAACAGAAGCAAGCGACTTGAACGGGACTAAAGGAATGTTTGACAAAGAGGAGACTAATAGAAAAGAAGAGCGAGCCGGTCGAAAGCGACTGGACAAGTTCAGAAACAGAAGCAAGCCGTTCAAAAGGAGAGTTAGGGAGTTTAACAAAGAGGAGATTCTTACAAAAGAAGCTCGAGCGCCGGGAAAGGGTTGTTTTTAAACAAAGTGAGAAACAGGAGCAAACCATGAGGAGAATCGGACAACAAACGAGCCTAAGAAAGGGCTAGAAAGTCGAGAAGCAGGAGCAAACCGCACGAAAGGGACCAGAGACGAACCCGACAAAGGAAAAGCCAACCGATCGAAAGGGACTACTCGAGTTGAGCATCGGGAGCAAGGGAATCTGCCAACCAGTCGAAACGGACTCCAAAAGATGAGAAACAGGATCAACCCGCTCGAAAGGGACTGGGGACTTTGACAAAGCGGAGAATCTGCGAACCAGTCAAAAGGGGCTTGAAAGTTGAGAAACAGGGCCAAACCACTTTAAAGCGACTCGGGAGTTTGGCAAAAAGAGATGTTGACAAAAGAAGAGAGCCAACCAGTCAAAAGGGGCTAGCAAAGTTGAGAAACGGTAGCAAACTGCTCGTAACGGCTTAGAGCATCCCACATAGCGGAGAATTCGAGCAAAACCAATCCCGTCGAAAGAGACCTCCACAGTTGAGAAACGGGATCAAACCGCTCGAGATTAGAGCCGTCGACAAAAAGGAGGCGGTGACAAACAAAAGCGAAGCAGTAGAAAGAGATTGGAAAATATTGAGAAACAGGAGCAGAACGGTCGAAAAGGACCACGGAATGTGACAAAGGTTAGAATTTGGCAAGAGCGACGCGAACCAGTCGAAAGCAGGAGCAAACCTTTCGAGAGGGACTAAGGGCTTTGAAGAAAAGGAGAGTCGAAATAGAAAGCTTGAGAAACAGTAGCAAACCGCGAGAATGGGGTTAGATGTTTGGACAGAGTAGCCTGTGACGCCTAAAATCCGAAACCCCGAATGCCCTGCGCAGGTCAGCTCCGCAGCACGCAGGAGTCGTGGCTCGAAAAGTGTCGGTCGGAGGGCCCCACAGCAGATGCGTTTTTCGGATCAACTGGTGTAATGCGATGGACTTGATAAGCAGAAAAGGGTTTCCTGGGGCAAGTTTTCGGTGCAAGTGTAGCGGGGGTACGAAGAGATGCCATTTCCAAAAATGAGGTTTAGGCTGTGGGGTTTCGTTGGCTGACGACTTAACTTTCAGTGGACAGGAAGCTAATTGATGAGCACAGGGGTCCACACGGAACCACCGGCACAGGCTTGCTGCCACCTCTTCAGCTCATACGTTCCAATACCTGGTAGTCACGGCATACTCCTTAAACCTCCAAGAACTTAAATCCTTGGGAAATACAAACTTTGTGGCCTTGTGGCTCGAAAACTTTGCAATGCACCAATCCACGGAAAACTCTCCTGAAACTAAACTCGGAAGCACGAAAACCACATGGACAGGAGTATACGTCCACGGCCATGTCTGTTGCTCCGCTGCCACCATCTCGGTTTAAGCGTTAAATTGCGAATTTTGTGGGCTGGAGGGCTAGCGGTTCTGGATTACAGGGTTCTGGGTTTAGGGTTTAGTGCCCAGGATTTTTGGTTCTGGAGCTTAATGTGTGACATCTTGGCGTAACAGGTAATGTAAGCACTGTATGGGATGGTACCATGCATGCTCGATACGAGGCTGGGTGTGCAAGTTGGACTTGAAGATCAATGATCAAGGGCAGATTAGCGATGGGGAGTTTGATAAACTTGTAAGAGGCATGGACTGGATAATAATTAAGGCCAAGACTCACTGCTGTTTACTCATCGGCGGAATGTTGTACATGTCGAGGTTGAGGTATGCTGGTAGCAACACTCAAACCTCTAAACGTATCACTCAGACCTTCAAAGGCTCGCAGAGCCGCAGAACCTGAGAGCTCGGCTCCCACAGCCAAAGCCTACCCTTGTAAGCCAGACAATCTGCAACCGTTGAGACCTCAGGTCTAGGGGTTTGAATGTTCAGAGTTCTTGAACTTAGGGCTTAATGTGCGACTGAACTAGTAGTAACGACACTATGCCCTTAACAGTCTCTTCCCAATTATGATACACCCTTACACCCGAGTTCAACTATTCAGGCTTCTATCTTGGCCCCATCCCTTGTCCGCGGCTCCTATTCCTCTCATGCCCGAAAACTTTACATCCTCAAGTGCAAGACCCGACGCTCTTGGTTCATCTTTCCACTCCGAAGGCCTCACCCAAAACATCCCAAGTTCTGTTTGCCCACCAAGCCTGCACTTCGGCCGTGAGAAGGAACCCCAATATTCTCTTGGACCGCAATTATCTGTAAAGACTGACCCGAATCAACCTGACATCTGAAATCCGCAAGCCTCAGACTGCTTTCAGGTCTCCCATCAAGGAGGTGGAATCTCCCCAACAGGGACGGATCTCCGTGGGGTGCCCGGGTGAAGATCTAGGATGACGGCTTATGCTGAGGGTCAAAGGTTGAATTCAGGGTTTAGGATTAGGGCCCTAGATTTCGAAACTTCGGAAAATCTGAGACTGGCCTAGTCCTGAATGAAGGTGAATGTTTTAGGGCGAGGGTCAATGAGGGACATAGCGCGCAGGACAGATTGTGATGGCTAGGGCTGGTGCCTTAGATGATAGGCGACATGCCAGGAAGGCAAATTGGGTCCCAAGCGCTAAACAATGCAAGGCCCAAGTTGTACGACCAACAACCTCAAGTCTCCGTTCTCCAAATACCCTTCAGCTCGACCGCAACCCTAAACCCAAAACCCAACGCTTTTGGGAAAGAACCAGGCACTTGGGTTTGGGGTTTAATACTTGGCGGTCTGCATATCCCTATAGAAGTTACTACGATATACCCAAAGACACTTTTCTACTTCTTAAGGCCACTGTAATGGGATATAGGAGCAGGAAGAACACCACATCCTCGCTCAGGGGCCGAAGTCGATGACGCTAGCAGGCCCGGGGCCCACCGGCTTTGCACGTCTTTTCAGTTTCACTCGATTTCCCTCTGCTTAAGATTGAGGCAGAACTTATATGAAACCCACACCCAGATTGAGGCAGACCTTATATGAAACCCACACCCAGATTGAGGCAGACCTTATATGAAACCACACCCAGATTGAGGCAGACCTTA